GGTTCCAGGAAGTCAGATGTAGACATCTTTGAAAGAATTCTCACTGATTGCCATCAAGTCAGAACTGCTTCATAGCTGACTCAGAGGCTGTAAAATCCCGTGTGAGATTGCTCTCTTTCTTCTGAGGAGTTGCTGGTGGACCCAAATGACCAGAAAGGTACTGCCCTGGGTTTAGCAGAGCAACACTCTGCCACCAGAGTGGGGGAATTGGGGAGTTATTTTTCATCCAACTACAGAGGTGAAATGACAAGTCCAAGATCACAGAAACCCCAAAGCCTCTTAACCTCCACTCCACTCTAGACTTATCATGCTGGGGGTTTGGTTCACATGCACTGTTGTTGAGCCCTAGTCCCAAACTCCCACCATGTTTCCATAAGCTCCCACACTAATGCATCTGACTCCTGTCCTAACCTATTCATTTACATAAGGGTCTCCCCAGCTTAACTTGGAGACCCTCATTTCTGTATGCCTTCAGTGTTTGTTGAGTGACTATGTCAGTAAACTGCGGTCTTCGGCCCCACACACGTGTCTCCCTTGCCTCTGCTGCTAGATTGATGATGCTCACCTAACTTTTGATGTCAAGAAGAAAGCCTGGCACTGGACTGGCTGAGAAACTCCTGCTCTCCCAGTGCAGGACAGTCTCATTAAGCTACCAAAACCCTGAAAGGGGCCGTCCCTCCCTGAGTAAAGAAGGCACCACGACTGAGGGCAGGGCACACTGAGAGGCAATATTATGGTATCAAACTATGACAGCTGTTTCAGTGCCCCTAAACTCAAAAGCTTCCTTTCTGGGTGCATAGCCTGGTCCCTGCACATCCTTTCCTGCCCTGCTCTACCTCCTGCTTTTTTTATCATCTCTGGACTTTTGGGTTTGTTTGTTGGTTTGTTTGTTTGTTTGTTTGTTTGTTTGTTTTACTTTTTCTAAAAAAGCCTTTCTGTCCTGCCAGAGTATCCCTAGCCACATAGGTCTGCAGCAGCATTAGCTCCTTGAAAACCCAATTACATTTCAATTACTCTAGTCCTTGCCAGACAGAGGTTACTGTAAGTCACATCAGAATTGGGAGGGAGGAGGAAGTGGCACCTGGGGCCAGGGCCCAGGCTGACACTTGAAGATGAATGTGACAGGGACCCATGGCTTTAAGGCTCAGGATTAGATCAACAAGGCTGGGCTGGCTGGTTCCAGGAAAGAGGTCATGTGGCACCAGTCCAGTTGACAGACAGCAGAGGCTTCAGGATAGCCCTCCCTGAACAGAGGAGGCGCCAGAGTTGAGGGTTTTGCCTGGGGGTGGAAGACATAAGGTCCCTGGGTTCCTCTCACAGGCATGGCACTTAGCCTGGAGCTTCCTGAGCTGGGTCCTGTGGATCCCAGGGGTGTAACAACTGCAGCTGCCTCAGTGGGCCTTCCAGAGCATCATCACCCAGGGGTATTTCTTCTGGGCACAACCTGGGGCTTCTCTCTTTTGCCCACCCAGTTCCCATAAGCTCCTTTGTAGAAGAAGAGATGTCTAGGCCAAATAACTAGCTTTTTCCATCCTCAGACTTTAGCTATGGGGTCCAGACTCAAGGTCAGAAGGGTCTGGGCAGCCTGGAGCCTGGAAGCAAGCTGCCTTGGGGTGGAAGAAGTTGTGATCACCTGTCCTGAGAAGCAGCTCTCTTTGAGGTACCAAGGGGTTAGAGGGAGTTTAACAATTGAGACTCCCCCTTAAAGGAAAGTGGGATCAGTTTGTGGAATTCAGTGTTATGAGTATGAGGGAATTCTCAGCAATGATTCTCTACATAGATACTTCTCCCAGTCAGTAATGATTTAAGGGGCTGGGGAAGTCTCTTGTTCCTCTCTAACCTACAGTGTCTCAAACGCCCCAGATTATGGAATTCTGAGCCCTGGATGGTTTCTACGCCAGGCCTCAGGTTTTTTAGGCTCTGCGTGGACCCTCCGCCCACACAGAGATATTAGATCTGTACCTTTCACTTTCCCTTATTTGCTGCAGCTGTCTGTGCATCCCTGCAAATCTGCCTCCCATCCCCCGTGTGCTGCAGCCCCCTCCTCTGCCCCCCCAAAGCAAACAGTGGCAGCTCTAAGATGGAGGGGGAGATGAGTCATTACCATGGGGGCAGATGTACCAGGTTACACACACACACACACACACACACACACACACACACACACACAGCAAGCCATGGACACAAAGGCATGCCCACTCACATTCCCACACTCCCTAGGAAGCACACTGGGAAGCAAATGCTGGTTGCACATGCAGACAGACATTCACACACATACATTCCTCAAAGACAAACACGAATTTGCAGACACATACAGACACGTCTTACTCATGGTCACTTCCAGTCATCTACCCAGAGCAAGCCACAATTAAAATCTACATAGTCATGCATTGAATTCCCCAGATGCACCATCACGTGAGTGCAGAGAGAGGCGCATACATGAACACGTGTACATGCGTGCACACATACAACAGCCAGCCACTCTTCCCAGGAGTCACCTCCTCCATTGCCCTACCTAGCCAGCAGTGGACAGAGCCAGAACCAAGGAAGCAAACCCATCAACCACTGGCAGAAGTTGAATCTACCTGAGGGTAAACTTCTGCTTTAGGTCTCTCCTCAGACTTTCCTCCTTAGAAGGCAGCTCACTTGTTCTACAGCGGTGAGGGAAGCCACTGACCCTCCCATCCATGCAGCCCATCACCTATCTGGTCTACAGCACATCCTCAGCTCCTTTGTAGAAAGGAGTTTCAGCTGAGACCGGGAAGGTGGAGCTTACTCTTCAGAAATCACTTCCCTGGGGGAAGGACTTCCCTGGGGGAAGGAGAGTGAGTCTCAAAGGATGAGGTGTGAAATGTTAGGACGACATGCAGACACAGAGGATCACAGGTTTGAATCCCAGCTCTGCTTCTTCAGAATGACCCTGGACAAGTCAGAGTCATGGAGCCCAGTATGCTAATCTGTAAAATGGGAGCAGCAACCACTACATAAGGGGTTGATACAAAGATGAGAGATAATGCTTTAGATGGATTATAGCAGCAGTTATTAGGGCTCACGACCTGACATAGGGCCTGGGAAGCAACCTCCAAAATATTTTTTTTTATTTAACGAGTCCCACTCACCCCACATCCCCACCTCCCAACCCAGTCTGCGGAAAAAAGTAGGAATGACAAAAAGAAGGATGGGAGCAGAAGAAATCCAGGACTGCAAGTTGGGCTAACATGGCCTTCCGGGCGTCGCTCCAAGAGCAGCCGCCACTTGGCTAGAAACCGTGACCCACCTGTGCCATCACCCCGTCAACTAGGCGAGGCAGCAAGGATTCCCCCTGCGCTGTCGCTTTCCGGGGCTGCCCCGTGGACAGCACACAGTAGGTACGCCCTGCAGGAGGCATGGACGACTGCACGATTGTTGAATGAATGTGGAGTGGCATGAATGAATGGGTGGGCGCATGAATGGAGGTGAGCTGGAAGCGTGAAGTGGGAGGCGACGAGGAACCAGCATCTCTCCCTCCGCCCTCCCAGGCTTGGGCTGGGAGACACGCAGCCGAGACCGGCCGGGGCTCCCCGCCCCCCGCCTTCCCCCGCCCGCGGCGCGCAACCCCGGAGCCCGCACTCGCCGGAGCGCAGCCCGCGCCCTACCGAGCGGCTCCGCCGGCAGCGCAGCTCTGGGCGGGGACCGCCTAGCCCCCTCCCCAGCCCCGGGGCCCGGAGGCCCAGCCATCGGGGCAGGAGGTGAAGTCCGGGGGCAGAGGCCAGGGGTCGGCAGCTGAGAACGCCGGGGCCCTGGAGCCAACAGGTGCGGGGCGCGGGGGCCCCCCAAGCCCGAGGGTGGCGGTTCCCGAGGACCTGCGGCGGCGGACGGGGAAGGCCGTGGGTCCCAGGGGTCAACATGGGCGCTAAGAGGCTGAGTCCCCGGCGGGAGCTGCCCTCGGTCCGGCAGGCTCCTGTGGAAACCCCAGCTCCCTCCCCGGCTCCGCAACCCCTCGCAGTTCCAAAGGGCAAAAAGGTCCCTCGAAGGGAGCGAGTCCGGTGGGAATGGACATGAAGGAGTCTCATGCCCCTCTCCCAGGGGCCTCCAGGGACCAGAGACCCTCCTTCACACAAGGGGTCGCCCCTGCCAAGCCTGGGAGGAAGTACCCGAGGCAGGAGGGAGGGAGGGGCGCGGAGCCAGGCCGGATTTATGAATGGAGAAAGCTGCCCTCCGGCCCAGCGACCCCTGGTGGCCGCTGGGCAGCATCGCGGTCCCGGGGATTGAGGGGCACCTGGCGGGAGGCTTGAGGAGACCCGCTGCTGAGCGAGGGAGACGTCAGACGTCCTTCTTTCCAAGGGAGATCGTCGGTCCCCACCCCACCCCCCCTGGCCAGTAATCCAGGAGAGACACGGAGAGAGTGTGTACGAGCGCTTGTGTGTATGTGTGTGTGTCTGTGAGAGAGAGAGAGAGAGAGGGAAGGAGGGAGAGAGGGAGAGAGAATATCCACCAAGGAGGGGTCGGCAGGTCTGGAAGGAGGGGCCTAGACCGCTTACTGCCACCTTCGACCTTTTTTCAACCAAAAAGAGAATATTCCCCAAAGGGAATATTTTGCAATCAGAATACCCCCCCAAAAAAAAAATCTATGGCTTTGCCTGGTTCAGACAGATCTGATTTAGCAGCTTTATGACCATGAGCCAGGGGTTCGCCTCCTTGAGCGTCCGTCTCCTTGCCTGCAAAGCTCCCTAGGGAAGGTGACCCGGTTCCGGTGAGGTCGCCTCGGAAGCCCGGTGCTGGACGAAGCACTCAGAGCTCAGCACGCCTCACGGCGGACGTGGGCGGTAGGTACAGCCATTGGTCCATTTGATAGATGGAAACAACCAAGGCTGAAAGTTACCCAAGGTCATCAGAACTGTGGAATTGGAGCAGGACCCGATTCCTCTACCCATCTCCAGCTCACCGCGAATCCACCTAACTACGAGAATTCAGAAGTTTATATACAAGGGCCTGTCACACTCCTTAAAGTTCGCTTCTGTCCTTCCTTCAGCAGGTTTGGGCTGGGATCCCACAGACCTAGGCGCAGACTCGGGCCCCTAGCGAGGAGGGGGCTGAAGCCCGGGGCTGGCTCCCCACGCCCCGCAGAGCCCGGAATGTCCCTCCCCCGCGGCGGCTCCTGACCTCATGGAGCCCTTGGCCACCCCAGGGGCCCAGACAGGGGTCCCCACTGGCAGCGAGGAGCCTTCCTTCGCGCCCCCAGACTACGAAGACGAATTTCTGCGCTATCTGTGGCGAGATTATCTGTACCCGAAGCAGTATGAATGGGTCCTCATTGCAGCCTACGTGGCCGTGTTCCTCGTGGCCCTGGTGGGCAACACGCTGGGTAAGCCCAGACTAGCCTTACGGTGCTGCGGGGCTTCTCCTAAGGGCTGGAGGGCGGTCCTGGCCTCCCCTGCCCCTTCTCAGCCCTCCCTTCCTGGGGAGGAGGGTCCGGTTTATGCAGGGGTGTGGCGATGATGGACGTGGCTCTGTCCTTGCCCTAACCACGCCCCTCCCTCCCCCCCAACCCCCGCCGTTCAGTCTGCCTGGCCGTGTGGAGGAACCACCACATGAGGACCGTCACCAACTACTTCATCGTCAACCTGTCCCTGGCCGATGTGCTCGTGACAGCCATCTGCCTGCCCGCCAGCCTCCTAGTGGACATCACCGAGTCCTGGCTCTTCGGCCACACCCTCTGCAAGGTGATACCTTATCTACAGGTGAGCTCTGCCCAGTCGCCTGCCCCTCGTCACCACCCTGTCACGCCCATCACCACCACCGCCTCAGGCTTAGTTAGCTTCCAGACAGACGGCATAGGGCAGCTGCATGCCATCTTCTATGGCAGGCTAGATTCCCACAGATTGTTGTTTTTAAGTCCTATGGAGATGACCACCACTCATTATGAACAGCAGATCTGAGCGCTGCCCTATCCTGTGCCATCCTCATCTCCAACACACTTGAGCCCACCATTACAGTCACCATGTCAATACAGTTCATTGAGGGAGACTCAATGATGGTCAGCCCTTGGGCGACCTGCTGTCTTTCCAAAGACTGGCCCCTCCTAGCAACATATCCAGAGATTGTGAGACAAAGTTTCACCATCCTTGCCTCCAAGGAGCGCCCCAGTTGCACCTTTTCCAAGATGTACTTGTTTGTTCTTTTGGCAGTCCATGGGACATCTGACACAGATCTAGCCCTACATGTTCATGTCACATCTAAGGACATGCACACACAAACATGCATTTTGGGCAAGCTTTGTTATCATTTGGGTGGGAACGTACCCTGGTGGTGTGATGCACTGAACACTGGACTACTAAAAAAGTGAGTGAGTGGGAGACAGATGGGGCAGCTGCTTCTGTAAAGGTTGGCAGCTGTGGGCACTCTGTTGGGCAGTTCTCTCTCTTACAGGGTTGCTGAGTGGGAACTGACTCAACAGCAGTGTGTTTGGGTTTGAAGGAGCTGTGGTGGTGTAAGGGGAGCTCTGGGGGCCTGGTCCATAGGAAGTTGCACTGCTAACCAAAGGCAGCATCTCTCTGGTGGTTTGAATCCATCAGCAGCCCTGAAAGAGAAAAATGGGCCGTTTCTTCCTGAGTGATTTACAGCCTCAGAAAACTCACTAGAGGGTTAGCTCTGAGTGGCTTCTGACTTAATGGCAATGAGAGTTTGAGTGGTATTGCAGTGGGGATATACCATGGGGTGCCAGGAGGTGGGGATCTGATGATCTGTTCCCTAAAGAGTGCAGCCTGGGGCAGCCTACAGTGCAGTTCTGCTGTGGCTTCTAGGGGCACTGGGAGTCAGAATCTCCTCCAAAGCACCTAACAACTGCTGGCAGAGCCTCCCCAGCCCCACTCCTTCTTCTCTCAGCAGTGAGAATCACGACATGTGGGGAGTATCATCCAGATGAGTTAGAGGAGTGGAAGGAAGACTAGCCAATGGTCAATAGGACTTCTCAATTGCATGTGTCAACCCGTGTCCCTGAGCCTGCACCCCAGAGGGCAGAGGCACCCCTGGGGCCGGTGCCACACCTCTGACATAAGCTTAGCTTTGCCTTCAGAGGAGGACTCTTTTCCGAACAGTCTGGGGAAGGCATAACATTCCAAGGGAAACAGAAACCCCTCTTGGATTGCTTTTATTTTGAGATTTTCCATACAGCTGGCTAACTGTTGACTCTGGGAATAAAGAAATTCAAGTGAGAGAAGTCACCTTGGGCAAGTTACTTAACTCTCCGGGCCTCAGTTTCCTCTTTTGTAACGTAGAAGTAACGTGATAATACCACTTCCCAGAGTTGTTGTGAGGGTAATAACAGTAACTGGCAGGGAGCTCTGGTGGCCTAGTGACAAAAAGCTGCACTGTAATCCCAGAAGTACACAGTTCAAATCCACCAGATCCTCTGCTGGAAAAGGAGGGGCAATCTCTTCCTGTACCAGTCAGATTTGATTTGACGGTACACACACACACACACACACACACACACAAAAACAATAATTAAAAAAATAAAATTTTTTTTTAAAGAACAGTAACTGGCACAGTGTCATTGGATTCCATCAAGTCACTTCAGATTCATAAGGACCTCATGCACAAAAGAACACTGTGCTACTCTCACCATCATTGCTGTGTTTGAGCACACAAGAAGTTTTAGAATGTAAGTTACTACTTTTCTGATGGCTTAGTGGTAAGGAGTAGCACTTGCAACCCAAAGGCAGACAGTTCAAATACACCTGCTAGCTGCTCTTTAGGAGAAAGATGGGCAATCTCTTCCTTCAGAGATCATTTACTGCCTCTAAAAGCACACTGGAGGGTTAGCTATGAGTTGGTTCCAACTCAACGCTACACAACAACAACATAATCCATTGTCAGAGACCATCTACTATGTTATGCCGAGTCTCATATAGGATTTTATTCACTCTTACAAGAATCCTGCCAGACATATTCCTATTCTGCAGACAAGGTTCAGAGAGGGCAAGTGACTTGTGAAAACTCACACATCCAATAAATATCCAGATTTGTGCTGTGCCTAGCTGTCCATAAGTCCTCTCACTCACCTCTGGGTGGCCCCTGGAGGACTGACACTGTGTCCCCATGGGCAGGCGGTGTCTGTGTCAGTGGCAGTGCTGACTCTCAGTTTCATTGCCCTGGACCGCTGGTATGCCATCTGTCACCCGCTGTTGTTCAAGAGCACTGCCCGGCGCGCCCGTGGCTCCATCCTGGGCATCTGGGCTGTGTCGCTGGCCGTCATGGTGCCCCAGGCTGCTGTCATGGAATGCAGCAGTGTGCTGCCAGAGCTAGCCAATCGCACCCGGCTCTTCTCTGTCTGTGATGAGCACTGGACAGGTAATGGTGAACCCCTTGGGCAGGCATCCTCTTGTGTGTATATCCCCAGAGTTTGCATGTAGCTAGAGGTGTTGCCAGAGTGAGTGCCCCCCAGCTTGGGCAACTCTCAAAATAGAGTAGGCATTTCCAGGTGGACCCCCTAGTGAGTGTCCCTGATGAAATGCTGGGGCAGGCACCATCAGGGTGACCTCTGTGGGATTCCCTACAGGGCAACATCTCCTAAAGGTTCTAGAATGGACACACCCAGGTTGGGCAACTTCAGAGCATCTATTCCACCATAGTGCCTATAAGGGACCCAGGTGCCCCTTAAACCTCACTGTGACCCTAGTTGGGACAGGGTGGCACTGCTAACTGTTTGCAGATTTGGCTCAATGCTGTCATCTCTTGGTCCCTGCAGATGACCTCTACCCCAAGATCTACCACAGTTGCTTCTTCATCGTTACCTACTTGGCCCCACTGGGCCTCATGGCCATGGCCTATTTCCAGATCTTCCGCAAGCTCTGGGGACGTCAGGTGAGACTCACTCTGGATTGGGGTGGGACGGTGGGTCTAAGGAAACAGCCTTTTGCCCTCAGAATATAACTGTCCTTACAACAACCAGAGAGGGGCAAGCTCCAAGGATGTGAGAACTCAAAGCTAAAAGCATTAGTGCCTCGTTGGGGCTGAACACAAAGTGACTTCATTACAATATTAACACTTGTCATTTATGGCACCATTTATACTCAGCTTATCTGGCATCCTCTTAACATTCTGAAGCACTTAATTATTATCTCCATTTAGCATATGAGAAAAATGAGACCCAGAGAGGCAGAGCAACTTCTCAAATTACTTAGCAAGTGAGGAGGTCAGGGAATAAAAGCCCGATCTGTGGGATTCCAGGGATCAATTTAGTGACACACCGTAACAGCAGCAGCTCCACAGTGCCTGCCAATGTAGGCACTTTGTGCAGGATATCTTCACAATTGTCTAGTGAAAAAAGCCACAGTACCCGTGTTACAAATGCTGAGGAAAGTCGACCAACCTGCTAACGCCAATGAGTGGCAGAGCCTGTTTGGCCGCAAAGCCTTTTTACTTCATCGCAAACTGAGCCACAGAGGTTTGGGGTTTTTTGAAGGGCTAGGGACTGTTCACATGTCCTTAGCGCTAGTGAGAGCGAGTCCTGGACTAGGGCCCAGGGAGCAAGAGGGTGCAGCCCAAGCATGGCCAGGGTCCAGAGGGAATGCTCATGCTCTGGGACACCACCTACATTCCTCAGATGGTGCTGACCCATGCCTAGGCCACACCGGCTGGTGGCGGGTAGAGACAGACTGGCTCAGACCCAGACTCTGCCTTCGAGGAATGCTTGGTGCAAAATGGCTCCTTCTAGCTAACCAACTTGGCCGTCCTCCCCAGGCAAGTCTGGTGGAAGGCAATATCTCCAGCTAAATTCAGGGAAACTGAGGCTCAGAAAAGAAGTGATCAAAGGGAAATTTGGTGGCCTAGTGGTAAGAAGCTGAGCTGCCAACTCAAAAGCATGTGGTTCAAATCTATCAAATGTAATTTATTGCGCCTGAAAACCCTCTGGAGGGTCCCAACTCAATGACATACAGTAACATTGCTAAAAGTCCCATAGTTCGTGAGCAACGGAGTTAATTTCCTGAAGTCTAGCCCCCTGCCCCTCTTATGGGGTGATTTGGGCATTCCATGGTGGGAGAGGCTTTGAGGATGTCTGTAGTTGTTCCAGAAACCCAGAAACTTCCTAGGCTTATAAGTACTCTCCTAGGCATAGACCTCTGCTCTGAGACCCAGGCTACCTGCCTGCTCCCCTGTGCTCAGAACTCCCCAGGGTCTGACATAGGCCACCTCCCATTGCATTTTCAGGGATGGAGTGGGAGATTTAAAAAGGCCTGATGGGCAGCTGGGAGGGTGTGCATGTTCCGGGCTGTGGTCAGAGTCCTTGTCAAGAGCTGGGCAGGTCCTCTGCCCTCTGACTCTCAATTACTGCACCTATAACTAAGAGCCAGTGATACCTTCCCAAAAACGTTAGGAGACGGCTTCACAGGAAGCTAATGGAGAGTGAAAGTATATTGTCCCTTAAGTTCAGATTGTCAGTTTTTATCATGAATAATTGATTCCTTCTTGTTACAAAAGAGGTCCTGGTGGCACAGTGGTCTGGTTCTCAGCCGCTAAATGAAAGGTTGGTGGTTGGAAACCACTCGTTATTTCACCAGAAAAAAAAGATGTGGCAGTCTGCTTCCAGAAAGATTTTAACCTTGGATATCCCATGGTGGCCATTCTACTCTGTCTATAGGGTCATTATGAGCTGTAATTGATTTGATAGCAACACATTTTTCTGTTCACAAGGATTTGTTCCCTTTGACCACTCCTGCCCTGACCACCAGAGTTCAGAGCCAAAACAAATAAACAAAAAATCTATTACTGGGCAACTCATTGCAAGTCCTGGTGAGCCCACAGGGCAGAGTAGAACTGCCCCGTAAGGTTTCCAACACTGCATATCTTTACAGAAGCAGCCAGCCACAGCTTTCTCCTGCAGAGTGGCTGCTGGGTTGTTTGGGTGAGTAGCTGTGTGCTTACCCACTGTACCACCAGGACTCTTCAGTTGAGAGCAAAGGCCAGCTAAAGAGAGTCCCCCAAGGAGCCCCGCCCACCGCTGCTGTCTCTATCTGCTGGGCAGATCCCTGGCACCACCTCGGCCCTGGTGCGGAACTGGAAGCGGCCGTCAGACCTCGATGAGCAAGGCCAGGGCCTGGGCACAAAGACCGCGCCCCGGGCCCGTGCCTTCTTGGCTGAAGTGAAGCAGATGCAAGCTCGGAGAAAGACAGCCAAGATGCTGATGGTGGTGCTGCTGGTCTTCGCCCTCTGCTACCTGCCCATCAGTGTCCTCAATGTCCTCAAGAGGTGAGAATAGAAGGCGAGTGGCTGTGGCTGTGGCTGAGGAGAAGCTTGAGGGTCAGAGGAAAGAGCTTTCTCTGCTTTGGATAAAGGCTGGCTCCACGACTTATTTAGTGTATAACCTCAAGACAGGCCCTTTCTCATCTCTGGGCCTTCTGAACCTCAGTCTCTTCATCTGTAAAATGGGAATAATAGGTCCTTGCTTACTAGGGCCATTGTGAAAAAAAATCATTCATTCACTCAGTGAGATTCTGGAGGCTGAGAATGCAGTGGTGATCAAGGGACCCTGTCTTTGTGGAGTTAACAGTCTAAAGGGAGAAGAGAATGTGAATAGATATCAAAGCAGGGTGTTCCTGAGAAGCGAGGATGGTGAGCCTTCATCTCATGTACTCTGTGCGTGTGTTATCAAGAGTGGCCAGTATTTAGGGGAGGACACCATGCTCGATGAGGTAGAGGATAAGCAAAAGAGAGGAGGATCCTCAAGGAAATTGACTGACACAGCGACTGCCACAGTGGACCTGAGCCCACCAGAGACTGTGAGGGTGACGTAGGATCAGCCAGGGGTTCATTCTGCTGCATGTACACACGATCACGGCACCCGACAACACACAATGCCATGCAGTGACAACTTCCATGAAGAAATATAAAGTTGGGAATGAGGGAGCGACGGGTTGGGCTTTGCAGCAAAACCAGTTGCTATTGAGACAACTTCAACCCACGGTGACATCGTTGTGTGCTGGAGTTGTTTTCAAAGGCATAACTTTCAAAAGTAGATCTCCAGATCTTTCTTCCAACGCGCTCCTGGCGGACTCAAACTTCCAGCCTTTCTGTTAGTAGATGAGAGCATTTGTATCACTCAAGCACTCCAGCTTTAGATAGAATGGATTTTGTTTGTTAGAAAAGATCTCTCTGAGGAGGTGACATTTGAGCAAAAGCTTGAAGGGACAGAGGGACCAAGCTCTGCAGGTATCTAGAGGCACAGGGCTCTAGACTAAAGGGATAATAAGTGCAAATATCTTGAGACGGAAGCTTGGCATGTCTAAGGAACAGCAGGATTATATGAACAGCAATGTGAGACTTGGCCCCTCCAGTATTAGCACATGTCCACAGGCAGCCTGCTCCCCTCCTGCAGCATGCCATGCCCCAGACACACTCCTCCAGGCGCTTCAGAAGCCCAGCACCCTCTCTGTGAAGCACTTTGACATCATTCATCTTAACCATTTCTGAGGAGGCAGCTGAGGCCCAGAGACATGATGTGACCTGCCCGGGGCACAGCAAGTAAGAGAACTTGGGTTATTTGACATGAGAAGATCTCTAAGCTTGTCCTTGCCTACTTTCTAGGCAAATTGCTTTGTTTCTCTGAGCCTCTGCTTCTTAATCTGAAAAATGGGTGATACTGGCATCTCATCAGATCACTGTGGGGATGGATGAGAAAGTGGATGAGGCATCCTGGGGGGATCAGCTAGGCAATGACTGAGCAGGTGTACCCAGGTCCCTCTCGTCAGGTCACCCCGGTCAAACTTCTCTATGCCTAAGAACTCCAAACTGTGGTCAAGGTCCCAGGAAAAAGTGGACGGAATGGGCAGTGGGAGCACTTGGACTTCACAGCCTGGGTTCTGTGAGCAACGTGCCTCCCCTCCCCATCTACCCCATTTCTGATGCCCTTGACCATGGCCCTAGGGTATTTGGGATGTTCCGCCAAGCCAGCGACCGAGAAGCTGTCTATGCCTGCTTCACCTTCTCCCACTGGCTGGTATACGCCAACAGCGCTGCCAACCCCATCATCTACAACTTTCTCAGTGGTAAGTGGGCTGGGAATGCAGAAGGCCTGTGGGTGCCTTTAGCCAGAGGCTGAACAATCTTCCCAACCCCAGTCCAGGGCCTCCATAAGGGCTAGTGGGGGGATCTCCTTGCTGAACCTAGGGATCATGACTCTACTCACAAGAAAAAAGACTTGGTTCCAACAAGTGTTCCAGGCTGAGTGACAAACAGGCCAACAGTGGCCAAAGAAAGTCGACCAGCATCCAGATAATGTTGACCAAGGACATGGCCAGGTCACCAGTAGAGGCTGCCCCATGTTAGAAAAGAGCTTCCCCATGCTGGACTCTTGGGGACTCTGTGAGTCCACCTGCTTCAGCACTGGCCCTCTCCTCTGGGAATTTAGTTACCCCAACACCCCCCAAGCCTCTTCTCCCCTCTGTCCCATACTCCTCCCCTCCCCCTGACTCCAAGACTCAGGTTGATTATGTCCCTGTCCCCAGATTCAGCTCAGTACAAGCTGGCTCACTGCAGCAGTCTTTGGGACCAGGCTTCTAAAGATTGGGTCTAGATGGATGCTCAAGCCCGGATATACTCAGTCTTCGAGAAAGGCTAAAAGGCTAAAAAGAAGGGGTCAGGGGTTGCTATTCTAGCCCTAAGTGAAACTTGGCAAAGGCTGCCTGGTTTCAGGCTCAAAGGAGAGAATGTGAGCCGAGATGCACTTTGCAGCAGAGAAAATGTCAGCAGAGCTTCCTGCTGCGCTTCCCTTTGTTTTGTCTGCTACACGCCTGGCAGCTGAAGAGGCTTCACAGATATTGAGACATGCTCAGTTTCCCTTCCAAAGTCTGTTTCCCTGGACTGCTGTGGCTGAACCAGGTGGTTGTGGGAGTCTCTCCTTCCCATCGACTCCTTTTAAGAGCTCACAAAACCCCCACAGCTGTCCGGTCATTTCCAAGTAGCACTGTCCCACAGCATTTCCAAGGCTGCATGTCTTTACAGAAGCAGACTGCCTCATGTTCCTCTGGCAAAGCTGATGTTGAGTTCAAACCCCTAGACTTTCAGTGAGCACCCCCAAAACTTAACCCACTGTGCCACCAGGGCTCCAGTCTTCAACAGCAAAGGGCTTTTAGAATTAGAAACAACTTTAACTTCTGGCTGAGTGAGCTTGGGCAAGTCACTGACCCTCTCTGCTTTCATCTGTGACAGGAGGATAAAGAACTCCAGCTTCTCAGGGTATTGAATTGATGTGAGGGTCAGAGGCTGAGGCCCCAGCACAGAGCCTGGTAGTGTGAACTTGGGGCACAAGGCTGCTGCTGCCATTTTCATTGTAACGGGCAGGGTGGGGAAAGTCTCCTTCAGCACAGACTCCTTGAGCCTCTCCGCATACACACCCAAGGACAGCAGAGGTGACCCGATGCCCCTGGAGCCAGACGCCACTTTCTGAACACCAGCACAGTCAAGGAATTAGATGAAAATTGCATTTGTTTGGGAACCTGCCCTGGGCCTCTGTCCTCACTTATCCTGGCAGGGAGGTCGCCTTGGGGCTCTCTCCATCTCAGCTCTCTCCCCTGCCCTCACAAGCAGCTTAGCTAGAGCTGCGTGGGTGTCCCTGGGCCCAAGGCTCTTTCCCTGCTGTGTCTGTCTCCTCATAGCTGTGTCTTTTGTCTCCCCACCAAGGCAAGTTCCGGGAGCAGTTTAAGGCCGCCTTCTCCTGCTGCCTACCAGGCCTGGGTCCCTGCGCCTCTCTGAAGGCTCCCAGCCCCCGCTCTGCTAGCCACAAGTCCTTGTCCTTGCAGAGCCGCTGTTCCGTCTCCAAAGTCTCAGAACACGTGGTACTCACCAGTGTCACTACAGTGCTGCCCTGAGCTGCCTGGGGGCCTCTGGGGGGTGTAACTGGTTCCCTGTCTGGGTTCCTCCCTGGCCCCTGGGGAATCCTCTCCTACCCAGAGGATAGACAGGTAGCTAGCTACCTGTGGCAGAAAGACACTGGACCAGCAAGGCTGGGTTCCAGGTCTGGTCTTCTGCCTGTGTGACTCTGAACAGTCACTTCCCATCTCTGAGCTTGCATCCCTGGGGTGGAACCAATGTGAGGACTACATGTGGCCAAGGAAGTAGAAAGCTCTTTGTAAACTGTGAAGTGTCGTGGACATTGATGAGTGTATATTCTTCTCACTTGGCCATCCTCCACAGTATCATCCATCCCTATCATCCTTCCAAAACTTGGCCCTCCTCCCCAAGACCCCTCTCCCATCCAATTACAGGCCTTCCCTGGAGTGGGCCTTAAAGGCCCCAGCAGGTATTGCCATCTGGCCCAGTGGTTCCCTAAGCTCAGGGCTACATATGGCCAGCTGTTCTGAAGTATGCAGTCCCCATCCTTCTCCAGGGGTGGATGAGCACAGCCCGCCCTCACCAGGTGCCCAAGTGCTGGCCTTGTTGGCTTTATAATGTGACAAAACACTCTGTGTGGCCGTTTGGCATGGAGGCCAGCAGCCCGAAGCAATTGTAATTAAAAGCCTGGCACTGAATGTTCCTTTTCCTTGTCACTGCACAAAATCTGTGCTGCTTTGGTCAGGAGCAGAGGAAGGTAGGAAGCCGGGGAGGGGAGGGGAGAAGATGAGAAAGCACTGGGATGCTGTTACCTGCTGACCACCCACCCCATGTCCCGGTGGACCAAGCCAGGCCTCAGAGTGCATGTGGTGCTGCCTCCGCAAGTGGTGCCAATGCCCCAGTGCCCAGGACCTCGACCCGTGACACATCAGTCAGTCCCTGGCCCGATGGCCTGCAGGTGGTAAGCTGGGGATGGGGAGGAGGGGAGGCAGCAAGGTTAACAAACTGATTTACTGTTACTTTGACCTTCAAAGTCAGGGCTTGCATTCTTTTGTATAAACTTGCAGAATAAAAAGAGAAAGCTGCACAGAGTTGGTGACGTGCTCCATCTGCCACCAGGATGATTAGAGGACTGCTGGAGGCCCTGCTCCTTGTTGCCAAAGCCCGTGGATGGGTGAGGTCTGAAGTGCTGCTCTGCTGAGAGGAACCGCGGCAGCTGGCAGGAGCCAGGCCGGCCGTGTGCACCACCAGATCTGCTCACTGTGATTAATGGAGTTGTGGGCTGCCTCAACTTTACCTGCTAAAGGGGTCCAAAATGTATTGTCTTGCCAGAGGAGCCCCCTGCTTTCCCTGCTGCATGTGGGAAATGCAGTCCATGGACATTACCCCAGCCTTCCAAGATGACACGGCAGCCCAGCCATCAACAGGCCACCTGCTATTGTCACCAGGTGGCACAGGAAGCACAACTGCCCCACTCATCCCACATTCTCATTGGTCTTGGGACCCAAAGCCTTTGTGAAGGCTGTTGTCAAGTTTAGAGGTACAGGGTGGATGAGAAATGTGGACTGATTTAAATGCGCAGAACCAACTATGCCCATATAAGTCAAACCAGGTCCCAGGCTCCTCAGCCCCAGCTGAACCCAAGGATAGGGTGGGAAACTATGATTGGTATCAACCAATGGAGATTTCAATGGACAACTGGCTCCTGTGTGATAGCTGGTCACCCTGTTCCACAGGACCTTCTGCTGCCTGAATACAGCACCAGGGTGGGCCTTAGGCATCCACTTTGGGTGACTCAGATGAGCTAGAGAAAATTCAGGGGAGAGGACCAGGGTGACAAAGGGAAATTAAAACTGCTCTGTGAAGCATCAATGAAGAGTCAGGGCAATTCTGCCTAGGGATAGGAGAACATGGGGAAATGAAGTGGCAGTCTCTAATAGAGGGATGGTGGACAAAAAGGGCCAAGGAGAGAAAAGACCAACTGGGGGTGGGGGTGTGGACAGTTTAAGGTGGAAGGGTTTAGAATTCATATCACAGAACATTTTCTAACAGTCAAGGAAGGAAAGGGCTGCACGAAAAGGCATTCTCTATCACTAAAGGTTGGCCAGCAGAGGCTGCACTCACAGTGGGGCACAGAGGGATTCCAGTTCTATGGGATTGGCCTCTGGGAATTGAATTCCGGCTTAGTCTGAGATCCTACTACCACAGCAGTCCAGAGACTAGGGCTGAGTTGGCTGAGCCAAACATACCTGCATGGCCTCACTGAGCTGTAAGATAGTCAAAGCTGCTTCCCTCAACTGCTTAGGGCCTCAAGCTCTTATCTTCACCTCAGAAAGCCAAAAGATAATCATAGCATTCCCCATAAGGCCCTTTAGGCAAACTAGAATGTCTGGTGTCTTGGCTGTTGATTGAAATTATGTCAGCTCGCTGTAGACATTCAGTGTAGACTGGTTATCATGCTGATCTGAAGCTCCAACTGGCAAGTACATGTCCCTGTGCTTAATAAAGATGAAAGGAAAGTTCCAACTTGATAAATGCAGTTTGTCTGGAAGATAAAACCAAGGCCTGAATTAATAACAAGGGCATGCTGTGAAAAGTTTGGGGTGGACACTTGTGTGCCTCTAGTACAGAACACAAGCCATAAAACTGCTGGGATCCAGTCAGCTTGTGGAGCTGACCTGGACCCTGGACTGGACCAGACCTGGGAGGGACTCTGGCCAGCCTGCTACTCTACACTTAGCTTCACGCTGGCAAATGAGAGCAGATCCATTTACGCTATGCCTCCCTCCTAGTGCCTTTTCTCTGCAAGCTTAGTATGTAACATGTGCTTAAACATTCATTGAATGGGGTGGGGGTAGGGGAGAAATGAGTGAATGAGCATATGATCCTGTAGTTAGGAAGGCATGATGGAAACCGTGGAACTCCAGAGTTATCATTCTTTTATTGAAGCTTAATAGTTTCACCAGACTTTTGGCCCCAAATGAAAAAAAAAAACAAAACAAAAAATCACAAAACAAAATGGCAAATAAAAATGAAAACATTGGCCGTGGGAAGTGGCAACTGTCCCTCGAGGACTGAAGCCAAGCAGAGCATGGCAGGCAAGTGAGAACGCAGCTAGGGAGAGCAGAAGCCTGGCCAAAGGTACCAGACTGTCCACATCATCCAAGGTGGGCCAGCCTCCAGGCGGCTCCCATTAACACACTGGCCCAGTGGGCATGGGTGGTGGTCAAATCAAACACCCTGGTCCTGTGGACAAATCCCTCCATGCTTGATCAGATTCCACCTTACAGAAACTGAGCTCTGACAGAACAGCACAGGTGAGGAAACACAGGTGCTAAGAGTGTGCTGAGCACTTCCCACTGGTGTCAGGGCTGAGAAGGAAAAGCTAGAGGCCCCGTCCAGCCGGCAGGACCTAAATCCACTGCAATGACTGTTATCTCCCATTCCTGATGAAAGCTGTGCCCTTTAATTGCTCAGGGACATTCAACACCTAGTGTTTTCGTCATGTCTGCCACTATTTGGTGGCCATGACACAGAACTCCCAACCATCTCTGGGAACAGTGCAACATCAGAAAAAGGGAGAATGTTTAGGGAAAAGGCCTACACGCTCCTCCCTCTCTAAGGAGCCAGGAAGGGTCCCCCCAGGGCACTCCACTCTACAGAGGAGTAGAGTCAGAGCATCCGAGAGGCTGTCATGGTGACGAAGTCCTCGAAGCTGAGCCGGATATTGCCCTGCACAGCTGTGTCCTTCTCCCTGAAGGCCTCAGTCAGCACCTGCAGCTGGGTGCACACCTGGATGAAACGGTCCAACTGCATGGAGGGATTGGCAGAGCGCGGGCAGTAACGGGAGACCAAGAGCTGGGTAAACTGGGGGCTCAGGTTGTAACCCATTTGAGACAGAGCTGTTGAGAAGGAGAACAGAGAGCAGAGACATAAACACCTGTCATGACCTAGCCCCCCACCCTCAGAGCACAGGGGATTTTGAGGAAATCAGCACAGATGCAGAAAGAGGACAGGGATCCCAAGGGTCTGTCTGAGATGTCAGGAGTACATCAAGAGCTCTCTCTGGATGTCCCCCACTACCTGGAGCTCTCATCCTCCTTTCTCCAAATTTCCACTCAAGCAGGGGCTCCTAGGTTCTTAGAGTTGACGCTGGACTTTCCTGCTCAATGACACATCTGCATTATAGAGGAACTCTGAGCCCCTCATCACCTCACGGAGGGCAGACAATAGAGGCAGTGTTGTAAAGCTACATGGGTCAGCTCTCAGTCAGTCCCAGGACAAGTCATGCAGCCTGGCCACCCCTCTGCTTGATCACCTCTAAATCAAAGATTATACTTATACGGAAGGTTCTGGTCAGGATTAAATGAAGTGACCATGTAAAGTACTTGGCACAAGGTCTGGCACATAATAAGCACTAAGTAACTGTTACTTGTTGAGAATAATAAAATTATTATCGTCCCCCAGCTGGGGCTGCAGGTCCAAGGCAACAGCCCCTGCTGCTCTCCCGGTCCCTCCTGGGATTCAGCTCCTTCCTCTCTGCCTAACTTACAAGCCCAGGTGACATGTCACTCCCCCATTTGCTTTGTGGGTTTTCATACAAGCCACCTACACTAAGCCTCATCTTAGTTGATAGTAAGTTGACAGTAAGAAATCCTTCACTAAAGGATGTGTAGTAACAAGCAGTACTTAACAGACAGGAGGAACCTGACAAATGCTTATCATGGAGTTTTGTTCTCGTTGTTGTCTCTCCATTCTGCCAGGAGGCAGGTCTGGTGAGCTCAACCTTGGCCCCCGCTGCCTGAGTCTGACTGAATGCACAGGCAGGACTAGGTGCTAGGCCCTCCAGAAGCCCAGGCTCGCTCCTAGGGGGCCAAGGCTCTCTGTCAGGTTCATTCACCCAGCAGACTGGCTTGAGCCTACACTGCAGAATCCAGTCCTAAAGACAAAATCTAAACCAAAACTTCACCTCTTCTCATCTTAACCAACTGTAATTTGGAAATTTGGAGAAAGTGGTCAAGGTCTCAGATTGTAAAAGAATCTGCCTTGCGGCAGAGCTGGTAGAAGAAACTCATCTATCTGGGCCCCAGTGCAAAGTTATTTCCAGTCTATGTGCCAGAAATTGGAGAGGAAAGTGTCACAAGTCATGTACAATGGTCTCAAAGTGCGTGAGATGCCAAGTCACTATACCTAAGACTGCTGCTGGCTGATCTCCACTAGAGTGCCCAGCCATGACTCTGAACCCAGGTGTTTGCTTGTCCTGGATCTTGGCTCACTCCCTCGTCAAGGTCACAGAAGGGGCTGGGGAAGGGACCTGAACTGAGGGGAAGGTTTTGTTGTATGCCCTGGACATCTGGGAGTAGAAGCTCAAGAAAATTCCCATGCTTTGTCTCAGGGAGAAGAAAGTGGAGTTCTTCCCTGTCCCCTGCACCCCTGCCACAGCCCTCACCTTGCTGCAGCTCTGTGTAGCTGATGGAGCCTGAGTGGTCGCGATCATACTGCTGGAAGAGGTTCTTCCACTGCTGGATGAATTTCCACAGGGCCGAGAAACCATAGACATCGATGCGGCCTGACTTGGTCTTGTCAAACATGTCTGAAGGAGAAGTTGGAGGAGGGGAAGACAGCATCAGAAATGAAGGCCTAGGTTCTCAGTCGCTACTCAGGCCCAGATCTCTGGTATCCAAGATATGCCTTCACCAAGTACTGTACCACTCTACAGCCCCATCCTATCAAGAGTGGCATCCAGAATATTCTTTGTGTGCTGAATTAAGCACCACCTGATCAATGCTACCTTTTCCCTGCTAGCTCTCCTACTGATGCGAGAAATCTCATTTTGTAAAATAGGAAACTAAGTCTGTGACAGAGAAGGGGTCTAGCACTTGAGAAAATTTCAAGGACAGAGCCCTGAGTCTAGCCTCTTGAACACAGCTTCTCCAGTGAAAACTATCCCTAGCCAAAGGCAACTCTTCCTATCCAAACAGCTACCTGTCCACCTCCTATCAGATGGGGGCTCTGCCCAGCTCAAGCCATGGGAGGGAAGGGACTCACTTATCATCATGAGGCACGTCTCATCATTGAATGAGGACCAATTGGAGTTGACCAGAGCCTGCTTCAGCTCCTTGATGGAGATGTAGCCACTGTGATCGGAGTCCACCGACTGGAACCAGGAGTAGGCCTCAGGATCCACATTGGGAGGGGCGCCACCTGCAGAAAGAGGTGCAAACAGGGAAGACAAACTTGGGTCTAAGGGCTAATGGAGACATCTTAGAACTGCTGAGAACAGGCCTCAGTGCTTCCCTGGCTGCAGGTCTTCTCACCAAAAGCCGCAAAAAATCTACCTGTGCCCTCAAACCTACATCCTTCCCCGATGGGAAAGAGCCTTTGGTGTAGATTTTTAAATATATGCAGTTGATTTCACCAGGTTTCTCCTACAGTAGTCCAGCCACTTCTCAATTTTACTTTAATTTCCTAAGGAACAGGAGGAGTCTGGTTGACTCAAATTAGTAGCCAAAAGGGTGGAGGTTTGAATCCACCCAAAGGTGCCTTATAAGAAAGGCCTAGCAATCTGCCTTTGAAAAAAAACAGCTTGAAAACTCTATGAGCACAGGTCTACTCTACAGGTGAGGCTGCAGTGAAATGGAATTGACCTGATGGTAATGAACAAACAACAGCATCTTTTCTTTCTATGCTCTGCTCTAAATTCTGTTGTTGGCTCCAGGTCCTGGGAATCTGGAAATAAGTTAGGTTGAGATCCTACCCACAACTTGTCCTTTTCCAGAAATGGAAGAATTCTCTGAACAGGGTGATTTTAGCTTCTCCACCAACTGGGGGCCCAAACATTTTTGCTGAACAGTAATACACACAGGCCAGGGACTAACAGTTTAAGGGCCACAGCCATCAGGAGCTCTCTAGAGGCAGAATCATGTCTGATCCATTCCTCACTTCCTTGTATGTAATACAGGGTCTTGGTGGCATAGTGATTGAAGAACTCTGCTACTAACTACAAAGTGGATGATTCAAACCCACTATTGAAACCATGGGAGAGAGATGAAGCCATTTGCCTCCGTAAAGATTTACAGCTTTAGAAATCCTATGGGCAATTCTATTCTATCGTGCAGACACAGAGTCAGAATCAATTTATAGCAGTGGGTTTTGGGTGACACAGAGCCTGGCACAGTGGATCTTTGATACCTTCTATTAGGAAGAGTCAGAGTGTAGGAGGTCCCCAATCTCCACCTTTCTCCCTTCCCTATCAGCTCCAATGCACATCCCCACACCCAAACCCCTCGAGACATCCTTGACACCTCCATCACCCCATATATCTACACTGCTGCTCAGTTCTGCCAGTTCCATACACAGGAAATTCCTCCTCCTTGTACCCACCACACCTGTCCAGGGGCAAACACCTCTCACTTGGACTATTTTAACAAACAGAAATACTCACCAAACTATCACTGTCACTAACCTCCACTGTCCTTCACTTGCTATAAGAATAATCTTGGGGGAAAACTGCTGAATTTAGAAAAGGCCATGGCACCAGAGATATCATTGCTGATGTCATAGGATCTTGGCTGAAAGCAGAGAGTACCAGAAGGATGTTTATTTGTGCTTTATTGACTATGCAAATGCATCTGACTGCGTAGATCGTAACAAATTATAGCTAACACTGAAAAGAATGGGAATCCCAGAATACATAATCGTGCTCATGTGAAATCTATACTTAGATCAAGAAGCTAACATCTGAACACAGCAAGGGAACATGCATGGTCTTAGATCAAGAAAAGTGTGCATCAGGGCTGTATCCGTTCTCCATTGCAATTTTAATCTGTATGCTGAACAAATAATTTGAGAAGGTGTATTTTATCAAGAAAAATGTAGCATCAGGAGTGGAGGAAGACTCATCAATAATTTGCATTATGTAGATTACACAACCTTTCTTACTGAAAGTGAGGACTTGAACAGTCAACAAACGAGAAAACAAAAATCCTCTCACTGAGTCAAAACCAAGAAAACAAAAATCCTTATAGTCGGTCAACAAGCAACATCATGATCGATGAAAAGACTGAAATTGTTGATGATTTCACCTTCCTTGGATTCACAGTCAACACCATTGGTACCAAAAGTCGCGAAATCAAGACATGTTGCACTGGTGAAATCTACTGTCAAAGACCTCTCCAAAGTTCTAAGGAGCAACGATGTCAGTTTAAAGACTGAAGTGCACCTGATCTAATCTATGGTCTTTTCAAGTACTTGCTGTCATCGGAAAATCAGACAATGAATAAGGATAATAGAAAAAAACTCGATGGCATTGAGTTGTGGTATTAGAGAAAAGTACGGAATATCCCATGGACTACCAAAAATACAAATAAAAATGTCTTGGAGAAAGTGCAACCAGACTGCTCCATAGAGGCAAGGACGGTGAAACCTCATCTTACATACTTCAGGCATGTTGTTAGAAGAGGCTGGTAGGAAAGGTAGAAAGGGTCAGTGAAAGAGAGGAAGACCTTCAATGAGATAGATCAACATAGTGAATGTTAAAATGGGCTCAAGTAGATCAGAGATGATGAGATGACACAGGACAGGGCAGGGAACAGATGTGCTGTTCACAGGGTCACTATGGGTCTTAGTTGATAGAACGACACCTAACAACAACAAATTCTTAACAAAGGTCAGACTCATTTCCACAGAGGTCTGAAAAGATGAATATGAAAGGATAATAAGGAATCCAGATGGAGTGAAGAAAAGCCAGGAGCAAAGGAAATGCGTGTGTTCAGAGCTCTCTAAGGAGTCTTGAGTTGATTCAGGGAAAGGAAAGATGGCAGGTGTGAGGAGGCTAACACACCCTTTGGGATGCCTTGGGATCTCCCCTGTGGACAGGTGGATCTTTAATGGCCTTTAAATGGGAAGGGGTATGGCAAGCCAGTCCATCAGAGCAGTGGTTCCCGAGCTTTATCCTGAATTCAGCAGGTGAGAGAGATGCTCTGATGCAGGCAGTAGATAAGTTGCCCTTTAAGGAGCATAGCCACACACTGGAGTTGAGGCAGTGGCACCCAGGTAGGAGCACACTGCTGCGGAGGTGAGCAGCCACAAAGATTACTTCTGCCTTCGGGCCCTGAAGTGACAAGCCTCACAGTCAGGGGTCCCATTTGCTGCGATGACCCCATGTGGGCTCAGAGACAAGATTTTTAAAGGATGAAGAAATCTACCACCAAGCTGCTGAGCTGAAAGCAAACAGCCAGAAGCTCTGGGCTCTGAAAGATAAATGTCACTGTCTCACAGTGTTCAGAACCCCTAAGGTTTAAGCATCTCCCTCAGGGCCACCTGTCTGGGTATGTATGCAGTGCCAGCCCCCGGAGGCCCTGCAGGCACACAGTAGTGTTTCCAAGTTGTCCTGCTGGTAGCCTGACTTTGGAGAACAGCCATTCTGTGAGGGGACTGAGTTTGAGGGGAAGCAAGGGTTTGGGAACCCACCTTCTCTGCCTCTCCATCTGAAACCACTCAGAAGTCTTTACAGAGGCTAAAGACCCTGCCCTGAATTCTACTTCTACTGTACCTCGAACGTCCTGTCCAGAACCTCATCTCTATTACCTCTGTTCTTTATCGTTCCCCTGTCCTAATGCTCCTACCTGTCTCAGCATCTTTTGGTAATAAGACCCTTACCCTAACCATTGTCACATCAAATGCCAAATGCCTATTAATGAACCTTCTTTGGTAAGAATGATCCAGAATGAGCACTCGTGAGGAACATTTTTAAAATACAGCTGATGAATGTCTTCAGCGTGTGTCAGACACGTGTCCAGTGCTACCTGTATCTTCCCATCAAATTCCTACAATAACCTTGATATAGTGGCATTGCTTCCATTTTACAGATATGAACAGAGTTTATAAAAAGCCTCACTGTTGCAGAGTTGGAAACAATTCATAGCTGACCCATCCTTGGTTTTCCAAGGCAGAGATCACACAGGAGGAGACTGTTCATCTTTTTTCTATGGAGCCCTTTATGAATTAAAATTGCATGAGTGGCATGGCCTTTGAGTTAGCAACATAACAACTTAGGGACTCCACCACTAGACGTAATAATCTGGATATATCAGTTGTTGTTGTTGTTGCTGTTGTTATGTGCCGTTGAGCCATTTTCAACTCATAGCGACCCTATATACAACAGCCCTAAACTCTGCTCTGTCCTATGCCAATCACACTGTCTCTGATACTCCCATCCCAATTATCCCAGTCACTGAATCAAAACACCTCAAAGAGGGTCTTCCCCTCCTGTGCTGTCCCTCCACCCTACCAAGCATGATGTCCCTCTCCAAGGACCGGTCCCTCCTTACAACATGTCCAAAGTATGTTAGACAAAGCCCCAGAATCCTTGCCTCCAAGGAGCAGCCCGGTTTAACCCTCTCCAGGATGAATCTGTTTGTTTTCCTAGCAGTCCATGGTACACTCAATACTCTTCTACAGCACCACAGCTCAAAGGCATCAATTCTCCTTCTACCCTCTTTAGTCATTGTCCAACTCTCTGATGCATAACAAGTGATAGCAAAGACCATGGCCTGTATCAGATGCATCAGTAAGTGGCCTTATCATAAAGGCTCACTAGAGATATAAACAAGTAGACTGTCTCATCTTTGTATATAAAACCCAATCTCCCCAACCTAAGAAAGCATTTGTCTCTATGGTGAATCTACTATTGCCTCCAATTATTTGCTAACCTCATAGGAATATCATACATATATATCCTCTCCCAACAATGACTCGCAAATCCCCTCCTTCAGGGGAGCGGGTATACACTCCTACCCCAATGACAACAGGCTCAACTAGGGTCTGTGCTTTGGCCAAGAGAGTGTCAGTGGGCAAGACAGACAGCACTTCTTAAAGAGCAGAGGCCCTAAGAGGGGGACTGCTCCATCAGAATGTCATTAATCAGCTCACAGCTACAGATGTATAAACAAGAATAAATGTGAGTGAAAAATAAATGTTGTTGTAAGCCAAAAGATTTGCTGTTACCAAAATCCCTAGCAAAGCTGTTACTATAAACTCTGTTAGCAAAGTTAACCAACATAAACCCTATTAGCAAAGTTAACCAACAGGCATTTCATTCCACTGATTGTCAAGTTAAGGCTAGATACAAGCTGCTAAGATGTCAGAGGCCAGGTTGCCTCCACACCCCAGGATGGACAAGGGTAGACCCTGGATAACTCAGAACCAGGTCAAAGGAACCCACAGTCTGAGATTCCACTTACCTGGAGGAGGACCCTGCCCATAAGGCCCCGGATTCTGGGCACCATAGGAGTTTGGAGGTGGCTGACCATAGGGGCTTCCTGGGGCTGCACCGCCATAGGGTCCTCCTGGAATTCCAGAAGGGAGTCCTCCAGGGTGTCCATAAGGTCCTCCACCAGCTGGTGGTCCATAAGGGCCCCCAGGTGCAGGACCCCCAAAACCGCCACCTGGAGGTATCCCACTTCCATACTGGCCACCATGGGTGGGCGGAGGGTAGTAGCTGCCTGGAGGGGCTCCAGGTGCTTGTCCTGCAGTTCCTGGGCAACCCTGTGGGAAGAAAAGATCCTAGTCAGAACGGGGAGTCCAGACGTTGACCTCAGCACAGCTCTTCAGAGTCATAAGGCACTCCTGCTGCCACTCATTCCATTGATCCTACAGACAGAGCTGGACTTTTCATCCCACTGCTCTGATAGAAAATGTAAAGCTTTTAGAGAAAAGACACAGTGCCACTGATGGCTAGCAGAATCAGAAATAGAATCTTACCCACCTTACTCTCTATTCCACACACCAAAGAGCCCCACAGGAGCTAGGATTGTGCCAGGTTTGCCACATTTTCCCAAGCCTTGAGACTCCCAGTGCAGGATGAATGCTCAGTAAACACTTACTATGCTGTGAGAGAGTAGGCAAATGAGCTGAACAGAATGGCAAAGCCTCACCTGGAAGTACCCCAGCTTTAGCTGCAGAATCCACAGCACACACCACCCACGTTGTCGCCACCACAGAGTGCCCAGCCCTCATAAGTACTATTGATAGATCAATAGGCTGGACTCACCCAGAGATTGTCTTCCTTCCCTACTCTAGCTCTGGGGGCGAACATGCCCCCATCCTCACTCAGGGCTCTGTGAGGCAGGCAGGCAATCTAGTCCACAGGGAGTTACACTGCTAATCCAAAAGAGGCACCTCTGGCATTTCAAATCCATTAGTAACTCTGAGGGAGAAAGATCAGTAATTTCATCCCATACGATTTACTGCCTCCAAAAGCCCAATGGAGGGTCAGCTATGGGTGGACTCCAACTTAACAGCATTCAAGTTTGAAAGCGATACAGAAGAGTGATTAAGAGTTAAAATGACATTCAAGTTTAAGATTTGCCATTTACTAAATGGATTAAAGGGAACTGTGGTGGCCTAGTGGTAGGGAACTGTGCTACCAATCCAAAGGCACATGGTTTGAATCCACCAGCTGCTCTGCAGAAGAAATACAGGCAATCAACTCCTGTGTGATTTACTGCCTTTGAAAAGTCGCTGAATTAGTGCTGACTGGACAGCATATAACAACTGGATTAATGGTTTACCCTTGAGAAGTCTGTACTGAATTACATTGCTACTCAGAGAGGTTGATCTCTGATGTTTTGTACCTACCACAGGAGAAAAGACAGGCAGGCAGTCTCCTCTCATTACCATTTACAGCCTCAGAAACCTGACAGAGGGTTGTAATGAGTCACAACTGACTTGAAGGCAGAAAGCTTTTGAGGTTTGTAAGATAGGAATAATAACAGTCTTACCTCCAAGGCTGGGATGTGAGTGAAGTGAAACCAGTCAGGTTAAGCATTTTAATATAGGTCCTGCCACAGAGGTAGCAGGTAACACACATTGCCTTTTAATAAGAGCTCCTGCTACACAGAAAGAAACTCAGGTCCAGAAGTCCCGCAGACTGAATAAGGAGCTAGCATATGTGCCTCACAGCAGCCATGGGGCGCTCCCTCTGGCTCTCTCCTCCTGCCACCTGCCGCTCCCGCTTTCTAACAGCCAGTAAATGGCCTAGCAGAGCAGAACCCCAGACACCTGCAAACATGCTGGGCCCAAAGACACGCAATGGCTGGGCCCAGCTCAGGGCAGTACCATCTACATTCTAGATCAACCTGCAGGACACACCAATGGTCTAGCCCAGCTTTTCTTTTTTTTTTTAGTGTGTTTATAAACTTCTCTGTTAACCTCAAGGTGGAGGCCAAATTCATCCTTCATCAAGAGAGAGGCTGCTGGGAGGAAGGCAGGAAGCGGGGCTTCCACTTTGTCATGGGAGCCCTTCCTCCCTGAACTGCCTTCGTTAGTAGAGACTCCATCACAGACAATAAGGTCACAGAGAGATCTTGGTTCAAATTCTGCTCTCGCCAGCTGAGTGCCTGATGTTGGTCCTGAGGGCTTCATTTTTCTGAGGCTTTCCCCTCACAAATAAAATACAATAATCCTTTCCAAGCAACACATGCAGCAGATTTCTGCTACTTAAATTTGTTACTAAGGAATCACTTTGGTAAAACTGACAAAATTTTTTCTAGCCAAAGTAAGAGGTGGGAATGAGAGTAAAATCTGGAATGCTGGCCTTGGAGTACCCCCCCCTTTCCTAGGTTCTGAGGGGGCTTTGCAGAACCCTCATAGTGCTTCAAAAGATAATCTGAAAAATAAGAAGTCTTTATAACAATGACTAGCATAAAGTGAACAATCAGTAAAAGTCATTATAGTTATTACTGTACTAATGATCAGCAAAACCGTTGGCCAAGTAAACTCTGTAGGGTAAATTCTATAAAGGTGAAAGAAACATTAACCCAGCCCTGAAGGAGCTCACACTCAATAAGAAAAAGGAACAAATAAACTCTCCTTGTAGCAACAACAAACAGCACAATGCAATGGACATTTAAAATGGACAGAAATCATAGGCCAAGGTGGGTTACAAAGGAAAGAAAGGAAAATAAGAGAGTTTCTCCAGAAAGTGACATTTGAGCTGAAAGTAGAAGGGTTAACAAGATTCCCAGGGGCTTGGGAGGATCCTCTTAGAGAGGGATCCAGGAGGCCAGTCAGGTAATCTCTTCATTTTGCAGATAGAGAAACTAAGGTCCAGAAAAGAGGGCCTAGGTCACACTGTGCACTGGAGGCACTCCCAAACCCCATGTCATGCCCCCTACTGCCTCCTGCTACAGGGAGCTCTGTGGCACGCTGCTAATTCAGAGGTGGTGCCTCTCAGGCAGTTTGAATCCACCTGCAGCTACATGGAAATTTACAGCCTCTGAAAAACCTGATGGAGGGTCAGCTTTGAGTTAGCTCCAACCACAGCGCTCCTGCCTTAGGCAATAGGCGGAAAGGTGGGTGGAGACTGTAGAGTCTGACCTTCCTCCTACATTTTAGGGACCTGCTGGGTTCCCTAAACCCTTCCCTTCCTGGTTTGGATAAGAGTCCTCAAATACAGCATTTACAAGGCACTTTTCTCTCTCTCTTTCTCTCTCTCTCTCTCTCTCTCACACACACACACACACGTTATTTATCAAATCTTGCCAATAATCTCCATAGAAAAGAGAAAGATGTTAGTAGGCCCATTTTTTTAGATCAAGGAATCAAGGTGCACTGCTGTTAAATTACTTCAGTCAGGAAGCTTTTACAGTGTTAGGTGGTGTACTAAGTTTGGGTGTGCAACACTAAAGGGAGCCCTGCCCTTGAAGAGCCTGCAGGTAATTCTGATACAATCTAATTAGTACTACCAGAAAAATCTACTTATATTCTGTGAAGCAAGTACATACTGATTAATTTTTTCCCCATTTGTTGAGTGAATAAATGAATGATCAAAGGAACAAATGCAGTAGGTTAAAGGAAGGCTTCCTGGAAAGGCAGCAGTGAGACTGAAGGTGGACCTTGAGGCAGTCATTGCCCAAAAAGCAGGGGGATAGACACATTCCAGACAGATGGAGGAAAAAAGGCACAGCCCACAGAGTAGGCATGATGTGGGCAGTGAATGAGTTATAGGGCAGGGGCAAGAAGACACAGTGTGAGTCCAGAGAGGCAGGCCTCTCCACACTCAGCCAAGCACCTCTCCTGTGGCATGTCAGCTGAGGAGTCAGTGTCTTAGCACAGTGTCCATCCATCTCTGCTAACTGACAGTGATCCCTGAGTGGAAAACACTGGACTTCATTCATCACAGTACCCCAGGGCCCAGCCCAGAGCCTGGCACGTGTAAGCTGCTGTCAATTTTTGGACAAATGAACACCACTCTAAAGAGTTTGGGCTTTCTATTGGGAGAAACAGAGCACCCTAGAAGTGCTTCCAACACAGGAGGAAAGGGATCAAAGCCTTGTTTAAAGAATTAATCAGGGGCAGTGTGGCGGATGAGTTCATGGGGGAAGCAGGCATCCACGAGCTGGACAGGCAGGGCGTGGACCAGACAGCAGACACAGAGATAGAGAGAAGAATGGATTCTGAGGTTATTTCAGAGGTAGACTAGACATGACTTGGTGACTAATTAGATTGGGGAAGAGGTGGAGGGGGGAGTGAGGAAAAAGAAATGTACGGAATGACTCAGGTTTCTAGCCTGCACAAGAAGATAAAGGAGGTGGAGCCACTAACTAACGCCAGTCCAGGCTGGGGAGGAAGTCTGAGGAAACTGCAAGATGACTGTCAGGGTCACTGAGTTGTTAGGAAAAGATTGAACCGGAAATGAAAACCAGACTCCCAGAGAGTGTGAGGCCAGCGCAGGATCTGCAAGGTTTTAATCTGTTGTAGACCAGGTTGCTACAAGGCAGGGTTGATTCGAGAGCACCGAACAGCAACTCCATGTTACCAATCCTTTGGACAGTTTCCTCAAAAGTATTTAATGCTGAGGAAACACAAGATTTCAAGGGAAGGAGGAGACAAGAAGAGTTCAGTAATCACGGATTTTGAGGCACCACAGAAAAACTACCCCTAGGCACTTTTTTAGCAAGGAGGCATGGTAGTGCAACAGCTAAGTGCTCAGCTGTTAACCGAAAGGCCAGTGGTTCAAATCTACCCAGTGGGATGATGGGAAGAAAGACCTCATAATCTGTTCCCATAAAGATTACAACCTAGGAACTTAAAAAACCTACTATATCACATTGGGTTGCTATGAGTTGAAATCAACTCAATAGCACCTAACAACAAAAAGAGGTCTTTAACGGATTAGACATAAGCTACATTCAATTCATTGATTGGGAGTGGAATGGGGTAGGGTACCATTAACAATACTGAAGCTCTGCTAGGTGCTTCCAGTTTAGCTGATCCTCACTGATCCTCCAGCCAATGAAAGAAGCACTATTACCCCCATTTTACAGATGAGAAAGTTGCCCTTCAGAGTGTTGAATAATTTGTCAGAGACAACACAGCTAGAGTGGGAAAAGAGAGTCAAAGCAAGGTCTGTGTACTCAATCTTATTCTATTTCTATCCCAGCATCAGAGCCAGTTTGAGAGTCATGATATTAGAAGAGACCTTGAAGATCCTTCTGTCCATCCCCTCAGCTGATAATGGAATCTCTGCATATGCTCCAGTCAGC